TCCCTCCTTCCATCACTCTCGCATGCATGTCCCCTCCCTGTGCTCCTGCCCGCCCTGGCCGCGGTGTCCCCGTCCCCGCTCGGGGACAGGCCCTAAGCTCTCTGTGCCCTCCCGGCCCAGCGGTGCGTGTCGGCGCCCAGCGGGAGGGATGGGGAGGTGAGCAAGGCACAGCGGGCAGCGGCGGCCGGCGAGGAGGCGGGCGGGCAACCCACTATCTTCAGCAAGATCATCGACCGCACCATCCCTGCCACCATCCTCTATGAAGATGACAAGGTAGTGGGGACAAGGTAGCAGGGCATGTGTCCCCACCGGGGGAAGGGGCAGCACCCACGGGTGTGGGGCTCACCCTGCGCCCCCTGGCAGTGCCTGGTCTTCCGTGATGTGGCCCCTCAAGCCCCTGTCCACTTCCTGGTGATCCCCAAGCGCCCCATCCCCCGGATCAGCCGTGTGGGTCCCCAAGACACCGAGGTGAGTCTAGGGGAGTCCCTGGGACATTGGCAGTAGTGGTCACTGAGTGCTGACCCTCCTGCTCTCCTCTCCCGCAGCTCCTGGGGCACTTGCTGGTGGTGGCAGCACGCACAGCACAGGCAGAGGGGCTGGCTGACGGCTACCGCCTCGGTGAGTTGGTGTCCCCTGCAGTGCCATGGGGCAGGACCCTCCCTGGTGGTCCTGGGGGTCTGGGCACGCAAGGGGGTGGCCTGACCCCTGTCCCTCTCCTGACAGTGATCAATGACGGGAAGCACGGTGCCCAGTCCGTCTACCACCTGCACCTCCATGTCCTGGGGGGGCGGCAGATGGGCTGGCCCCCTGGCTGACCCCCCACTGCCCACCACCCCCCAATAAAGCATCTCCTTGGTGGTGGCTTCAGTGGCTCCGTGTCCAGGTGGCTTTCTTAGGCGTGGGGATTTCTTAGGGGTGGGGGTCCCTGGCCTGGGCAGGGCTGGTGTCGCAGCAGTGGGGAGTTGCTACCCTGTTTTCTGTGGAGGGTCTGGGCTCCCCACATGCCAACCTGCCCATGCCGGAGATGCTCTGGAGCCCCATGGTTGAAGCAAAAGGAATTTGAGGGAGTGCCCACATGCCGCTGGGAAAAGGCCCATCCTGGTGCTGGGCTGGGGGGAGCAGGCTGTGTGCCACAAGGGTGTCCCCAAACTGGGGAACATCCCAGGATTGTCAGAAGCACACCATGCTCAGTGCTACCTGCCCAGACCCACTGCCACCACACAGTGCCTGCACCCCTGAATGCCCTCACCCTGCCTCAGTGTGCCCCCCAAGCACCACTGTGTTCCTGCCAGAGCTCCACACTGGGCACTGATGCTTCTCTGCTCTGCAAAAGCAGCTAATTGCATTTAATTGATCTAAAAGCGATAACTGCACATGTACTCACTCCTCCTTACCCTAGAGGGACCTCACTGTGAGCTCCCGGGGGTTCATAGCCCTGAGCAGAGCGCAGGGCAGAATATGCTGAGTGGTGGGCGGTCCTGCTGCCCCCTCCACGTACACACAGCCCTGTACCCCCCCTGCACCGCCTGTGTGGGCACTGCAGTGGAAAACTCACTGCACTGCACACCCCAGGCTCCCCTACACGCAAAACACCGCCAGCACTGTACACGCACACGTGTTTACACCCCTTGGCCGCAGTCTCGTGCCTGCACGTGTCCACATCCACCCGGCGAGGGGAGCGCACGCGGGGGCTCCACGCATGCGGCCGCCCGCTCCCTGCCGCGTGCCTCCCGCTCCCGCTGCTCCGTGGCCGGGCGCCGGGGCTATATTTAGTGGCGGGGGCCGGTGCTGGCGCGGTGCATGGCCCACCTGGCACCACCGCCAGGGCTGGCTGGGCCCCCGCCAGCCGCTGTGCAGGGGACCGCAGCCCGCCGGGGAGAATGGTGGCTCTGTTCATCCCCCGGCTCGGTGGCGCTGGCGGCGGGGGCCCCTCGGGAGCCGCGTGGGGCTGTGGCAGAGCCTAGTTCGCTTCCCACACATACACACCCAGAATAGCATGGGGAATGTTTTTGGGGTGTAAATGAGCCTTAAAAATGTTGATGGGTAGTGCTTCCTGCCTCCGAGGCTCAGCGCAGGATGGGGTCACACTCTTGGACGAAGGATAACTCTGCCTCAGGGATGGGTACCCCAAATCGGGGCTGGTTATCCCCTGTACATTATTCCCCAGGGCTCACGTGGAGCAGCCCTCCAGGGAATGCTGTGCTGGGCTGAGGGCGTGTGCTGGCACGCGAGGTCAGGGGCTGGACGCCTGCCATCGTGTTTCTTCCTATGCCAGGTTTATTTTGTCAGTCCCCGAGCAGCTGTGGGGCAGGACAGTGGTCACAGCCCCATGGGGCTGAGGGGGGGAGGGCAGAGGGGATGAGGGCCAACGGCTGTTTTGGTTCTTCAGCCGAGGAGGATCACAAATGACGCAAGTTCCCAAAAGAGCTGGGCAGGGGGGCTGCGGGGGATGTGTCAGCCGGCAAGAGGCAGCCAGATGTGCTCCAGCAGCTCCAGGGCTGCTGCCCCACGGTGATGCTGTCAGGTCACAGCCCCACAGAGATGCCCCATTGGCCACCCCGGGATTTGGTCTGCCCCACAGTGAGTGCACCCTCCCGGGCTGGCATTGCTAGGGTTCCTGTCCTGCACTGTACTGTGGTGCTGCTAGTGTCTCTTCAGTGTCCCCCAGGCACCCCCCTGCCTGGCCAGGCTTTTGGCAAGCCCACATGTGTCTGGTGGGGAACCTGGGGATGCTCCTGGGAAGAGCACCCAGGGTGCAAGCTGGGACAGGGAGCCCAAGCTGCCGTTCCTTCAGTACGAGCTGAAGTACGGGTGCACCGCAGGGGCCAGTGCTGGGCCCGCGGCTGAGCGTGGGGGCGGAACCATCAGTATTCACCCTAGAACCCTCACAGCGACCCCCCAGCCCTCGGGGACATCCTGGCACTCCAGCGGCAGCAGGGCTGGTGTTGCCCCAGCATGGGGGAGGCACGAGATGAGTTCGGCCATGCCTCCTGCCTGTCCTGCTCGCTGCAGCTGCACAGCAGATGGGCTCGGAGGAGCCCCTGCCTGGCGTGGGGCCGAGCACCCGCAGGGAGGAGCCGGTCCCCGGTGGGGGGCCCCCACAGGGCCGGCCGAGGCCAGAAGGGCCAG